GAAAAGAAAGAAAGAAAAAAGTCAGCTGCGTTCACTCCTCCTCCTCCTCCTCCTCTCTGTCTTTCGGTTTATTTCTTTACTTCTTTTTCCTCGCTACACCTTCCTTTGAACCAGCGTAGGTAAAGACAGATGGTGCAGCCCGGCAAAACCAGCACAGAGAGATTGATACCTGCAGAAATTGGGTTACATTCGGCCCCGTCTCCATTGGTAATCTCCGGTGCTGGTGATTCATAGTGAAGTGGTTGAAGAGCGGGGCTTCACCGCTGAAGCCCTGCCGTAGCCCCCCCTCGTGGCTGGAACAGGTGCAGGGATAGTTAGTATCTGGAACTCATCAGTGAGTGAGTGGGTTCAGGTCGTCACACTTTATCCACTCTTTCTTTAGTGGAGTGGAAACAGCAGGGAAACGACATTTTCTCGCAACTACAATCTCTGAAAACCTGTGTGTCAACAGAGACGCAGAGAGAGTCGGGTTCATTTTTAGAAGCCATGCCTCATCTATTTGTAAATGTGTCCCTGGGCAGGAAACAACACTTTCTTCAGTTCACACCACAGACAGTACTGTGCGAGTGGCTATGACAGATGTGTCGATAAAACGAAGCGAATAAAATCACCGACAAATATAAACGCAAATGTCTTAATGAGGGTGAAGTGAAAACTGACTGTGACTGTAAATCCTCACCATAAAAAACCTCGAACTGAGCGCATGTAATGGGCCTATTTTTAGCTAGCTTTTAGCTGCAATTATATAATTTTTAATTTGGAACACTTTAAGGCATTTACGCTCAAAGTATGCCGACGCATTTTGTGCTTTTTTCACTGCTTTTAAGCCTTATTTTTCTTTTGTTTGCCGGCTTTTAAGTAACTGTTGAACTGGTTTTGCACTTTTGCAATGTTTAAATTAACACGTTTGGCTAACTGTTCCCTATTACTGCCTTTATGTTAGCCACACTTTGACTAAACTGTTTTTATTCCTCATTGTTTTTTTTGTCCTCCAAGTCAATAGGTCGATCCATGAAACACTCAAAATATTTATGTTTTTTTTTTTTTTTTACTGTATCTTCTCATCTACCTGATGGCCATCTGACTAATTCCAGGAGCTGAAAGAAACAGAGGAGCTGGACATCCAGCTGAAGGTCTTCAACGAGAACAAGGAGGAGGACGCCATCGAGCTGTCCCACCGTCTGGACGACATCAGAGCTGAGATGGAATATCCTTTATCGAGAATACTTTTAAGTTCGCCCACACCTGCTGCTGCTGCTGCTGTTTGTGGTGTATTGGTGAAGTTGATGATGATGATGATGGTGGTGGCGATGACAGTGATGTTAATTAAGAGGAAGAGGAGAATAAATAGGAGGATGAAAATTATTAAAATATTGATGATGAGGAGGAAGGATGATGATGACGATGATGATGATGAGGAGGAACAAGGAGGATGAGGATCACGGTCTGGTGGAGCTTTACTGACTAAAGCCCCCATGACTCTCTTCATTAGAGGGGGATTTGTGAAGCTCATTGATCAGCTCCGTCTCTGACCGGGATTATTAGGTAAATAACCCGACTGTTTGATTTTCTTCTTCTCTTCTATTTGTCTGTAACTTTTCTTTTCTCCGGTCTTCACTGTCAGTGAAAAACACACACATTCTAATTTAAATCGATTCAACCCCCGACTGTTGTCATTAAATATCATAGAAATCTACATAGGAAATGATTCAACATGTGCTAAAAAGAAATATAGAATAAATCGCCCAACTGTGATTTTTTTTTTTTTTTTTTTTTTTTTTTACCTCTCCCACTTTCCTCCATTGTCAGTTTAACTAACACGTGTAGAGCACGGAGTTCTAACTTTCGGCACTAATTTTCTCCCTGGGTAAAAAAAACTCCAACTGTGGTTTGGAGAGAAAACATTAAATAATTCAGGATCTTCTCTCAGGCCATGGTTGAAAGGCTGACAAACCCACACTGACATCCATATGCAGATGTTCCCTCGCCTCGACCAAATCCCACAACTGTCGTACGAGCGCTGGGCACTGCAGTGAGTGACGGGCACTGTTGACACAAGTGGGTGATGAGGGGAGGCTGTGGCTGTGGAGGACATGGAGGAGGTGGAAAAAAGAGGAATAAGATAAATGACTGAGGGCACAGATGATAAAAAAGTCCACTCTTGTGCCTATGAAAAAGAGTTTTTCCAGGACTTCAAGTATATACAGTATATATGTTTTAACAGTGTAGAGCATTGTTTCCCAAACTTTTTTTCTGTGGACCCATATTTTTCTCAAACCTTCCCGACCCAAGTCAATAGACATTATTCGTAAAGATGAGATAGAAACTTTTAGATTGGCAGCTATTTTGAGGTTGCATGCAGACAGATGTTGCGATGACCGTGAACTCCTGGGAAACGGGATGCGATACGAACAAAAAAAGCTGTGTCCGTCTATCTATCTATCTATCTATCTATCTATCTATCTATCTATCTATCTATCTATCTATCTATCTATCTATCTATCTATCTATCTATCTATCTATCCATCCATCCATCCATCCATCCATCCATCCATCTATCCATCTGTCTATCATCCATCCATCCATCCTTCCATCTATCCATCTATCTATCCATCCATCCATCAATCCATCCATCCATCCATCCATCCATCTATCATCTATCTATCCATCCATCCATCAATCCATCCATCCATCCATCCATCCATCCATCCATCCATCCATCTAACTAAAAGAAATTAAATGTCTCTGTTTACTTATCTCCACCCCTGCACTTCTTCTTTTCCTCCACAGTCCTACTGAACTGAATTCAATCACAGTAACCTTGTTTAGTTCCAGGGTTCTTGTGGTAAAACCGAGATATACTTGTACTTGTTTCAAACCAAAACTTCCTTGTGTTAGTCCCCGCAGTAGAAACACATACCGTACAGGTCCTTGTTGGGAATGACATTCCTGTTACTCTCCTCAGTTCCTGTCAACCATCTTTAAGTGCTATGATTTGCTTCAGCAGCTTCACAAATGAGTAAGACCCAGTATTTGTTTCCAAGGACAGTGTGTGGCTGATCACATTCAAACACACACACACAGACACATACACAGTGTCAGGTAGGTGGTTCCTGCTCCTGTGTTAGCAGTGTCTTTCAGCCCTTTCATGAATATTAACCTCCAGATCCTGGATCTCCTGTGTGTCCGAGTCGGGTCCAGGTGCTGAGCTGAGGTGACTCCAGGCCACTTATGAATATTAATGATCTGTGGAACCGATGATTGATTGACCCCAGTCGCTGCTGCTGACTGGCCTACATGGTTCTGCAGCGCGGCTCTCATGTTTATTCATCATTTAGTCAGAGACAAAGTGAAGACAGATGGACAGTGGAGAAGCTCAGAGCAGAGAGGAGTAGGACGAGGACGAGGAGGAGGAGGAGGAGATTTGAAATGATGACGATGATGATGTGGTGATGGTGAAGGAGATGGTTGTGATTATGCTAAAGGTGATAGTAAATATGGAACATGATGGTGGTGTTTATGATGACAGTCAATGGAGATATTAATACGAGTGATTTTAAGATTTTAAATTTGATTGTTGATAGGATGGTTATGATGATGACCATGATAATGATGATGATCATGATTATGATGGTGATTATGATGATGATGATGTTTATTATGATGCTGATCATGATTATGATGGTGATTATTATGATTATGATTGTGATTATGATTATGAGCATCATAAGTTTAATGATGATGATCATGATTATGATGGTGATTATTATGATCATGGCAATGGTTATGATGGTGATTATGATGATAATGATAGTGACCATAATTATGATTATAATATTGATGGTTAATATGATTATGAACATGATTATGATGATGACTATTATGATGATGATAATGATGGTGACCATAATTATGATGATAATATTGATGGTTATTATGATTATGACCATGATTATGATGATGATAATGATGGTGACCGTGATTATGATGATAATGATGA